ACTTTGTTAATAATTTTTTTATTTTTATTTTTTGATCAAACGGCAATCCTTATCATATTGAAGGCTACATTGAGAATTTTTATTATTTTTTTTCAAATGACAATCCCTATCAAAATGGAGATTTCATTGAGAATTTTTATTTTTTTTATTTTTATTTTTTTGCCAAAGGACAATCCCTATCAAATAGGAGACTTCATTAAGAATTTTTATTATTTATTTTTTTTGTCAAATGACGAGTCTCTATTAGATAGGAGACTTCGTTGAGAATTTTTTATTTCTTTTTCGTTAAACAATAGTCCCTATCAAATACTAGACTTCGTTGAGAATTTTAATTTTTTTATCAAATGACAATTCCTATCAAATACTAGACTTCTTTGAGAATTTTAATTAATATTTTTTTATTGGTGAAAAATCAACATCGATCCCTAAAAAATAAGAGATTTGACAATTATCCACCTATTAATTACTTAGTAAGCCTAATTAGTAAACAACGAAGTAAGGTTATCAAAATAAATTAAAGTACAAAATTCTAAATAACTAAAGACAAAGATTATCTTAAATTAAATAATAACAAGAAAATTAAATTCTAAATTAAATATAATTAACAAACATGCGACCAAACTAAAAAATTGCAATTACATTAATAATAAAAATGATTAAGGCATGTAAAATATCTAAATTAAATACAAAATGCTAAAATGCATAAAATTTAAAAAATTAAATTATAGTCAAACACTTCTTCTTGTTATTTTTTTTCTTGTTCCAATTTTCCTTTTCTTTAAACTTACTTTTTCTCTTTTTCTTCCCTACTTCTATTACTTCATTTTTTATTATTTTTTTAAAGAGGCAGGAACTCTTTTCTTTGTGTGTGTGTGTGTGTTTTTTTTTTTTTTTTTTTGAGAGAAGGCTGAGTCCAGCCTTCTCATTTTTTACTTATTTACTTAGGCAAAGGGGTATGGGCTGAATTGAACATAGTCCTACACCCCTTATTTATTTATTTATTTTTATGGTAGTAATGGGTCGGTCCAGACCTTCTCTTCTTTTACCCCAACTAGACTCGGACCCACAAAAACCCTAGAGGTTAAAAAATTCAAAAATTCAATCAAACCCCCTCTTGACTCTCTATAGTTCTTCGCTATTTTTTAATTTCTCTCTTTAGTTCTTCAAATTTTTTTAGGACTCAAGAGTTCTATCCAAGCAAATGATTCAATTAAATATCAATGTCACACTTTCCTTAATTAAAACACAATTCAAAAACAAAAATTGAACAAGTAACGAACTAAACTTAAAAATGAAAGCAATAATGGAATCAAAGCTAGGGAAAATCGAACCTAGAAACTGACTTGGGAATTGAATGAATAACACCAAGAACACAAACCCAAAAACCCAGCTATTCAAATGAGGAACCCAAAAATTCAAAATCGAAAACCCGGAAGTAATAGGTATTGCCTAGAAAAATGAAGAACAAATTCAATGGCTACCTAGAAAAATGTAGAAAAAGCTCAATGCCGCCCAGAAAAATGAAGAACACTACCCATAATCTTTAAGGAGAAAACCCAAGAATGGAGAAATTGAACCCCAAATTTCAAGAAAACGAGGTTGAGAAACATGTGAATATGGAAGTTTAACCCAAAAAGGAAGAAAACAAAAACAAAAACAAAGAACTAAAGGGATAGGAATTTGAAGAACCAAAACCCAAAGTTTATGACACCAAAAACATAAACCTAGAAAAACCTAGTAGTTGACGCCCAAAATTTTAAATTGTCAACTCTTTTTTGCTTTTCTTTTCACTTTGTCTCAACCTAGATTTTTTTTGCTTTTTCTTGTTGTTCTTCTTGCATGCCAATGTAGGTCTTTTATAGGCATGATTCAACTTGAATCTCTCCTCTATAATCTCATTGTTCACACTAGATCCATATGTCAAGGAAAAGAATCTACCTTTGATTAGCCAAAAATCGAAGCATCAATTGCATTAGGGCATGATTCCTAGCCATTATCAAATCCAGCTAAGGATTTTAATGTACGCAAATCAAATAAGAACTTAATTTGGGGGAAGATTTCACTCTTGGGAAAGATTGAGAAACAATCCACGGAGTGATGCTGGGTTGGAGTGGACGACAAGTCGTTCACATGACTTTGGTTCTATTGTCCGCTTCAAAGTTCCAAATTAGTCCCTTCGAATTTCAATTGTCTATAATCACGCCCCTTTTCCATATAATTTCAGTCCCTGTAAAAACTAATTTTACCGATTGAGCTCCTACAGGATGTAATTTAGGTTTCAAATTTTCCAATTGATTCGATTGCACCCTTAATTACTTTAATTACACTTTCCTTTAATGCAATTACCCCCCTAAATGAGATTTTTTTTATTTTCTATGTATTTCTTTATATATATATATATATATATATATATATATATATATATATATATATATATATATATATATTATTTAATTTTTTTAAGAAAATAAATAAATTCCTTGAACAAGTTAAAAAAAAAGTAAATAAATAAATAAGAAAATGAAAGAAAAATAATTAAAATTGTGATTTATTATTATTATTATTATTTGGTATGACAAGAGGTATAAAAAAAAAAACAATTGAAACTAACTTTTCTAACTTCTCTAACTAACCTTGACGGTAGAGGAGTTAGCTATTCAAAAAAATGTTAGCTACGGTTAAGAATTAAGTAAATCATAGTTAGTGTGTGCAACACACGTGAGAGAAACAATAAGCATTAATAGCTGTTGCTACTAGTATTTGACTCTTATGTATAAACAAACATAACTAAAACAAACAAATTTTCAATGTTCATTGAGCATCTCCTCACTATAACATTATTCAACTATTCTCAAAGACATTATCCACTAATATTATTATTCTGATTTTTTTTAAGTGTTTGATGTACAAGTTTATACAATTGTTAAACTTTGATTCTTAATTTTGTCAAAAATTTTTGTTTCAACTTTTAATTTTATTAACAACATAGTTTTAATTCCTGGATGCGGAATAATAAACAAAACAAAAAGAATGTGAAGAATTTGAAGGAGAATTGTATATTGTATATTAACAATGAAGTTCGAATTTTATACAGATTACAAAGTTTGAATTTCAAAACTAAATCACATTGAGTAATAACTGAATAAAGGGATATTACAATGATCCTACTATTAAAAAGGGTCAACTATATATAAATGGAATATCCTAAATTAGTGTTCTATCATGCCTCCACAAGTGCAAGTGGTCTAAGGAGGATGCTAAGCTTGGAGCGGTGCAATTGAAACTACTACCTTGCAAGAGGTTTAGTTAAGGAATCAATAAGCTAATTAGTGGTATGAACATGAGAGACTTGAATGAGTTTGCGAGTAACTTGATCATGAACAAAATGAAAATTAATGACAATGTGCTTCATGCATGAGTGGAAAACGAGGATTGGAGCAAAGGTAAGTTGTCTTGGTGGAGATGAGATCGAAACACCAAGTCCTTGGAGAAGGTTGGTCAACCGGTTGACTTTCGCTATAGTGGAGTGATGCAACAATTTTATACTCGGCCTCTATTGATGAATGAGCAACAGTGGATTGTTTCTTGAAACTATAAATGTTAGGATTAGAGCCATAAAAAAACCACATAGATCGATGTAGAGTGGTGAGTGTTAGCATCACTGACCCATTCGACGATCCGTAAATGTATGCGAGAGATGGAGTGGAGTGAGTAGACAAAAAAAATACCATAGTAAGTTATACCTTTCAAGTTGTGAAGAACTCATTTAACTACATTTTAATGAGTGAAAGAGGGAATGGTCTATAAATTGTGCTAGTTTATTGACTGCAAAGGTAATGTTAGGTCATGTAAGGGAGAGATATTGAAGTGACCCTAGAACTTATTGATACTCGGTTGAATCATGAGAGGAAGATCCATCATCAAGTTTGAGAGTTTTCGAGAACGATAGAAGAGTATTCTACTGGCTTAGCTTTATGCATATTGGTCTTGTGAAGGATATCCAAGTATATATTTTCTTTGGGACAAGAATAAACCATTAGAGGATCGAGTAGTTTCAACACCTAGAAAATAACTTAGCTTGCCAAGACTGTTAAGGGAAAAATGATCTGGACGAGTTGAGCAATGAAGTTGCTAATGACATGAGAGTTGTTACCCATGAGAATAATGTCATGCACATACACAAGAAGATATATGGTGACATATTGTGATTTATAGATAAATAAAGACATGTCACGCTTGGAGTTAAGAAACCCACTGGTAAGACGATACGATTGAAGCTCGGTGTGCCATGCTCGTAGAGCTTGATGAAGCCCATAGAGTGCTTTGTGCAATTTGAAAACATGATTTAGATAGCGATGGTCAACAAATCCACGAGGTTGCTGCATAAAGACATGGTCGGTAAGAGTGCCTTACAAGAAGGCATTGTTAATATCCAATTGATTTAAAACCAAACCATGAGAGATTGCTATACCGAAAACAAGATGAATACTAGCGAGTTTCACAACTGGATCGAACGTTTCATTAAAATCAATTCTAGGTCATTGATGAAATCCTTTTACTACAAGTCGAGTTTTATAGCGAACAATGGAACCATCGGGATTACTCTTAATCCGATATACCCATTTACATCTAATAATATTTTGTGCAAGTGAGGGAGGGGGCTAAGGACCGGGTTTAGTTTTTTTTTTTTTTAGGGCTATGAATTCTACCTTTAAGGGCCTCACGCTAATTAGAATGTTTATTGGCTTGAATGAAAGACATGAGTCCAATTTGGAGGAAGCTATTGGTTGATGTTGTGGTATGAAGAGTGAATAGGATTTTGGGTTTGTGAATATTGTTTTGGGGGCGTGTTACCATACTAGGAGGAGCGGTTTGTTTGGGAGATGACATAGGAGATATAGAGAAGGAAGAAGAATTACTTACCCGAGTAGGCGATATCCTATAGACGCTAGAGGAAAGAGTGGAAGTTTCTTGTTGAGTGGGAAATGAGTGATTAGTGGATGAATCAAGTGTGGGACGTGGTGAAATGGGTTGAGACTAATGCCCAAGAGATATGGTATTTGGATCGAGCTGGTGAAGTGGGCCGAGACCGGTGCCAAAAAGATTGGTGTTTGCTAACATTTGGTGTTAAGGTAGTTGGAGTAAGAGGGATGGCGAGTGGGATCCAAATTAGGTAAATGGGCTATATCACGGGAGTTGTACGTGGGAGAGAATATTTTCATGATTTTTGCTAGTAAATATGGAAAGAAATCTAGAAAAAGACTGGTTAGTAATGAAAGGATTAGGATATGATTTTGTTTTATAAAGGAATATATTATAAAAAAGTACATGTCTAGAAATAAATATTTTATTTGATTTGATATCAAGACAAGTAAATGCATGATGGCAAAGAGAGAAACCGAGATACACACAAGGATGGGATCATGGTTTGAGCTTATGGGTAGTATAGGGTCTAAGCTAGGGATAACATAGGCACTCGAAAACTCAAAGGGAGGTGTAAGCAATTTGATGGCCAAACAGTTTATTATGAGGTGTGTCATCGTACAACACTAGAATTTGCATGTGATTGATAAGATAGGTAGCTATTTGAAAGGCATAGGACCGAAGCGAATGGGTACAAAGGCTTGATGGAGAAGTGTAAGCCCTATTTTTACAATATGACCATGTTTGTATTTAGCGAAGCCTACATGTTTAGGTGTGCATGGTGGGGAAATAAGATGTTGGGTACAATTTTTGGCAAATAAGGGAGCAAGTGTTTGGTACTCTCCTTTACCATCGGTGTATATTTTCTTAATCTATGTTTCAAAGAAATTTTCAATTAATTTGCGAAATTTTTCAAAGATATTGAAGACATTAGACTTTAGTTTGAGGGGATAAATCCATGTATACTTTGTGAAATAATCAAGAAAAGTATCATAATAACGAAAATTGCCAAAAGAGATGATTGGAGAGGGATCCTAGACATTCGAATAAATTACTTGAAATTGTTTGTCACATGCGATTGATGAATTCTTAAAGGCTAGCTTGTGACTTTTGTCACATAACAAGAATCGCACACTATTTTTGAGCTTGAAGACTTTGAAGCTGGAATTTGATTTTTAGTAGTGATTTTTTGTTGAATTGGTAGAGATGGATGATCAATTCTTTGGTGCCAAATTTGAGATGTGAGAGCGAGTAGAGGTGGAAGGCGATGGATGAAATCATTTAGTAGGTGAAGTTGATGATGACCACTCGTACGAGTTGTTCCTACTCCGACCTCGAGCCAAGGATGCCCCCGTACTCGGATCCTTTACAAGAAAATGGTTAGGAAAAAATTCAATGGAAGTGTTATTTTATTTGTAGAATTGTGAAACAATTATAAGATTATTTTTTATCAAGTGTGCAAATAAAATATTATCTAATGTAAATAACATAATAGGTGAATCAATAGTAGAGGATCCAACATGAGAAATCAAAATTCCATTACCATTTCTAACTATCACATCTTTGTTCCCCACATAGTTGGAGTGCATGGAGAGATTCTAGAGGTCGAATGTTATATGATGTGTGGCAATCGAGTCCAAAATCCAATTGTTGTTGTTTGAATCACTATGGACAAGATTAGCTTGAGGTTGAGAGGTTGGAGAGAATGGTCTCCCGTGTGAGTAACATATCTCTGCATTGTGACCTGACTTGTCACATAGCCGACAAACGATGCATTGTTATCTTTCGTCGCCCTGATAAGAAGTTGAACTCCATGTGGGTGAGAAGGAGTGAGCATTTGGATTAAAGTTTGTACCTTGTGAGTAATACCCTTGACCATATGATTGCTGTTGTTGAGTGTAGTTATATTGATTATTATTGATTAAAAGGTCTGGTTGCTGTCTGAGGTGTATGTGGAATTAAATCCACTATGGTTTCCTCATCCTTCTTTGCCTCCATGGTTGCTTCTACACTGTGTAAGTTGAGCAGTAACTTTTGAGTCATCCTTTTTTGGTGCTCCACAATTCTGAATTAATTCCTCGTCAAGAAGCTTATCATAGAGATCTTCAAAGGATATGGGAGATTCACGCATGCGTACAGTAGCTGTTAGTTCTTTGAATTCATCACCACCAAGGCCATTTAGAGTGTAAGCCATGATTTCTGCATCACTTAATGGATGGCCAATGAGGGCAACATCATTAGTAATACTTTTTTATTTTATTCATGTAAGTATCAACTGAATTTCCTTCCTTTTTGTTTGACATAAGTGAAGATAAGAGTGAGAGCATGCGAGTACTGGAATGATTAGCATAGGTGGTTTCTAATTCGCTCCAGCAATCTGCAGATCTGGTGTAATTGTTAATGATGAGGAAGATTGTGTTTTGGACAGTTGCTTGTATTCCCAACAACACCTATCAATCTTGATGAAGCCAGTACGTATAATTTGGGTCTGTTTGTGATGGACCAGGTTGACAACCATCAATGAAACCAAGTAGTCTATAGCCAAACAGAAGATTGGTCGTTTGAGATTTCCAGGATGCATAATTTCCTCCACCCTTTGAGAGCTTTAATGGAATCTGACATGAGGCATTAAGAGATACCAGATTCTATTGGAGGGAACAATGTTACCTTGAGCCATGGTGTTTGCAGGAGATCCGGCTTCTGTGGGAGATTCTGAAGGGGACTCAGGTAGAGTTGAATCTATTTCTAGCAGTGTTGACATTGGGAATAGAGAGTAGGATGTTGCAGGGTTGAATTAGAAATGGGAGGAGGAAATCTCTATTCAAATGACAGAGATGCGCTCTGATACCATGAAGAATTTGAAAGAGAATTGTATACTGTCTATTAACAATGAAGTCCGAATTTTATACAAATTACAAAGTCTGGATTTGGAAACTAAGTCACACTGAGTAATGACTGAATAAAGGGATATTACAATGATCCTCCTATTAAGGAGGGTCAACTGTATATAAATGGAATATCCTAAGTTAGTGTTCTGTCAGAATGAAGGAAATAGAGAGAAAGAAAGTAATCTCCTATAAGTCATTAATGATAATATATATTGCAATGATGAAAAAGACAAGAAAAGAGAATTATACGAGACATGGTATCCCTTTGTATCTTTAAGCTCTTGCTATTTAATTCATATCTTCATCTGCAAAACGTAACTTCAGTTTTCGTATGCTTGTCAAATTTAAGAGAATTTAAATCAATTATATGATGGATTCTTATAGGTTACATCTATTTCGTTTGTTTGTTTATCCCCTACATATATGTAGAAAAGAAAAAGAAATGTATTTAGTGAAAATGAAATGAAAAATATTAGTATTGATGTTTTGCTTGTGAGATTAGCTCTTTTTAATTTAACGTCTTAGCTTCTTGATTTACCTGAAAAAGACAATGAAAGATAAACTTTCAGTCTGCAAATTTTAACCATATATTTAACTGCCGTTTTTTTTTTTTTTAATATATAAATGGTAGTGTTCTATATATATATATATTGGCCTTAAAAAAGCTGGTGCCATATATTGGGATTCCTTGGAGTTTTGTGCTGGTGCTGTATACACGGGGAGTTTTAATTTATGGATGTTCCATGGATTTCCACTAGAGAAGTGGAAGGCAGCTTTATGACATGCTTTCGCTTCTCACTCTTGCTATCGCAGTTGGGATCCAACCCTGGCTGAAGCAAGTCTCAAAGCTGCCTTTCACTTCTTCGGTGGGAATTCTTAACGTAATTTCCTAATGCTTCAGTGAGCGTGCAATAATTCATTTTGAACGAGGATGGACCCAAAATTGTATTTGGTAGGCAAGCTTTGTGCTCAAGAACCACATAATATATATATATATATATATATATGCCATGAACCTTTTGCGTAAAGTGCAACAAAGCCATTATTTTATTTCCTTGAAAGTTCTCTCACAATGTTCAGTGCAATATCAAGGCACCTCTGTGTTGCATATGCAGCCTTTCTTTTTCTAGCAGTAGCAGTGCTAGAAAGAACAATAATTATTACTGCACTCCTTCTTGTGGCAATCTCCGTAATATTAGCTATCCTTTTCGATTAAATACCGATCCCAAAAGCTGTGGCCACAAAAATTATGAACTTATTTGTGAAAACAACAGTCCAACTTTATACTTGAAGGGGGAAAATATTATGTTCAGGGAATCAATTACAAAGACTTCACAATTCGACTTGCGGATCCTGGTGTTCAGAAGGATGATTGCTTCTCCATCCCTCAATATACTTTTAACGAAGATGAGTACTTATACACAGATAATATTTATAGTCCATATCAATTCTCCTTCGATCATCAATTAGCTTTCTTAAATTGCGCAAATCCTATACAGAGTGCAATTGATATTTTGGATACTTCTTCTTGCAAAAGTGACAGTACTGGATATTATAATTCTACGTTTAATGTTACTTCTCCCATCTCCCACGATATGGAAGGTTATTCCTATGTCATTTATGGTTACTTTAAGTTGCAGAATTTGCCGGACTTATGCCGTATAAATTTGATCCATCCTGTGCCTAGAGATATAGATCCATTAATTAATGAGCCCAATATGTCCTATATAGATATCCATAATATTTTGGTATATGGTTTTGAGCTTCAATGGGTTTCGGTCTGTTGTAATTTTGGTAAGGAGAACCCCTGCGATTACTTTAATGAAACCACCATGGGCACATATTGTTATGAATTCTGTAAGTTATTTTCTCTCTCACCTTTGCCTCAATTTGAATATATATTGCTTTGAAAAATCAAATGAATTTAACTATTTTCTCTTTTAAAATAAACGCAGGCACCGGTAATCCATTCGGAATGGTAATAGGTAAGCAGCTTTTGCATATGGCTGTTAATTATTGAAATTAGATAATTATGGTCCTTTTTATTAAGCTCAAATTTTTTCCTATTTTTGTTAAATAATGTTATAGCTAGAAATGATCACGGTGATGTACTTAATAGCGACGGTGGTGGTAAAAAAGCACAATTTTTTTAAGGAAGCGTAAGGGTGGCGCCGTTGGCCTCCAAAAGTCATATATATTTTTTTTTCAAAATCTCTCCTAATTTTCCAAAAAAGAAAGAAAACATTCTAATAAGAATTTAAAATAAATCATATTCTAATAGTTTGTTTTGCATGCAGGCGATGTGATTGCATATGTATACCACAACCTTGGTAAGAATTTAAAATATTAGCTTCATAAATTTACCTCAATCATTTCCGATCCTGACGCCAATAGCTTGTCATTATAAGATTTTGCAAATTGACTTTACTCATTATCTCTTTATGTAGGAAGACCGTGTCTGGAATTCTCCTTTTACACAAGTAAAGGATTTTTAGTTTTCTATACATCTTATTAGACTAAATAAAAGTTCGAAAATATTATACCCAAAATGTCTTTAATATTTCATTTTTTTCTTAGTAAATACATAATTTTAAAAAATATTAAAGGCATTTTAGATATAAATGAGGATTATTATTGATCATTTTAATATTGCTATCATATATATGAGTTAAACAAACCACAATTCCACCAGAAATAGATAAATTAAACCTTAATTAATAGTTAAGCAAAAACTTTCATATACTAAGTACTACATAACAATTTTATATATTTTATGTATTTACTTTTACTGAATAAAGCTAAAAAGATACTGGCTGCCTAAATTATATATTCCTTTTTAGAATATATATATATAAATATAATTCGTGTTTCTTTCTTTCTTTTTTTATTTTTCATTTTCATCGTGTTCTCATTTGGCAGAAAATTTATATAGTCTTGTGACCAACAGCATCTCTTCAGTTTTTCTAAGAGTTCTCATATTTCTCATAATTTGGCTCACTCCTCTACTTGCTCTCGTCCGCAAGTACTTTCTGGTTCTTTTTTGGATTAATTAAGAAACATAAAATATATGGATATAAGATGCACAAACATTACAGCATTTCACTATTTCCATCAATTTATTTGTTGAAAATCAGCCTTTCAAGTTTTTAATTTTTTTTAATTGAGTTCCAGTAATTTAATTTTACCAAATTGAAAAAAGAATTATATTATTTTTGGCTCATATATATATATTATTCTCAATTATAAATAACAATTTCAAATGCCATCGAAAAGAAGAATTTTTAATCCTAAAAAATAGCTTGAGATTTTTAATTATTTTAATTTGCATCAAAGAAGTGCATAATATTAGTATGTTCCATGTTTGAGAGGTATTTATTAGAGCGTTGGGAGTCATCATAGTCAATTGTTTGAAATTAAAAGATTATGGATGCAATTACAAAATTGAAAAGGTTTGAGTACTCGTATTAGCAAAAGATGAAGAAAAAAAACCCTACAGAAGGTAGCATAAATTATAAATTAGTCTCTCTCGTTTTAAAATTAATTTTTAGTCCTCATGTTTTTAAATCTACATGTAACTTAGTTTTTTTTTTTTTTCTTGGCATTTTCTCTAAAATCAATGAAGAACTTGAAAAAATCAGTTTTTATGATGCTGTGAATTTGAAAATTGAAAAATGTTCATGCTTGGATTTAGCACATCTATGAATGTATGGTTAAATTGAAAGGATTTATTAGGAATCAACATAACAAAAATTGCATTTTTGTTTAGATAAAAATAAAATTGTTGATAAGGAAATGATATATGTTTCTTCCATTAATTGTTCTTGTAATGTCCTACACAGTGATATATCATGCACCATTATTCCTTTATGGGCTTCCATGTCTCATAGCCTTATTGATCTACAAATGCCGAAAAAGACATTTATCTATGTATGACAATATTGAAGAATTCTTGCAAAATCATGAGCATAATCTCATGCCTATAAGGTACTCTTACTCGGAGATTAAGAAGATAACCAATGGATTCATTGACAAGTTAGGTGAAGGAGGCTTTGGTTACGTGTATAAAGGAAAGCTTCGTAGTGGTCATTTTGCAGCAATAAAAGTTTTGGGCAAGTCTAAGGCTAATAGGCAAGACTTTATGAATGAAGTTGTGACTATTGGAAGAATTTACCATGTTAATGTGGTGCAACTTATAAGCTTCGTAGTGGTCGTTTTGCAGCAATAAAAGTTTTGGGCAAGTCCAAGGCTAATGGGCAAGACTTTATGAATGAAGTTGCCACTATCGGAAGAATTTACCATGTTAATGTGGTGCAACTTATAGGCTTTATTGTCGAGGGATCGAAGCCTCGCTCTTATATACAAATTCATGCCTAATGGATCTCGTGAAAAGTATATTTTTTCTACACATGGTAGTATCCCACTAAGCCACGAGAAAATGTACGAGATTTCCCTTGGGGTGGCTCGTGGCATTGAATATCTACATTAAGTTTGTGATATGCAAATTTTGCATTTTGATATCAAGCCACACAATATTCTTCTTGATGAAAAAATTATTCCTAAAGTTTCGGATTTTGGACTAGCAAAATTGTACCCAACAAATAATAACATGGTGTCTCTCACTTGCGGCTAGAGGAACGATTGGATACATGCCTCCTGAATTGTTATACAAAACTATCGGACGTATTTCTTACAAAGCCGATGTCTATAGTTTTGGAATGTTGTTAATGGACATAATAGGAAGAAGGAAGAACTGGAAAGCATTAGCAGATCACTCATGCCAAACTTACTTCTCTTCGTGGGTACATGACCAAGTTAGTCAAGGAAAGGACATAGAATTAGAAGATCATGCCACAAAGCATGAAAAGAGAATAATAAAGAAAATGATTATAGTGGCTTTGTGGTGCATACGAGTTGAAGCCCGATGATTGTCCTTCCATGCATAAAGTTGTAGAGATGCTTGAAACGAGATATTAAATCCCTACAAATGCCTCCAAAACCTTTTTTCACCCCACAACAAATGAAAAACGATGATGATAAAGCTAATCCAATAAAATTATTAGATCCACCAAATGATTATATCGACTCTTCATATCGGTATGGTCGCTAATGCAAATACATTTGTGCATTTATTAATATTCATGATGAGTTAATGATGTCTAGTATAAGTTTTTGAACTTTATTGATTGTATTAATTATGTGTTTCATTTTTAATTTTTTTGCAATGTATTTTAAAATAATTCGATTAAGTGTGTATATGGGAGTTTGCTAAAAATTACAATTAACTAGTGTTAGAAGACCGTGTTAATGACACATAACTGCATGAAGATGGCTAGACGTTACCTGGAGAATTGGATCACTTGGTTAAAATAATTCTATGAAATATTAATTTTACATACACACAAATAAAAAAATAAATAAATAAAACCAAAATCTCTTGATGGAAAGGGGATAACATGTCTGCCATTTCAACTACAAGATTAATCGCAAAAACTTTCGTATACTAAGTACTAGATCCCAATTTTATATAATTATTTATTTACTATTACTGAATAAATTATTCTAGAAGGACACTGTCTCCCTAAATTATATATTCCTTTTTAGAATGCATATATTATGTTTCGTAGTTAGTTTCTTTCTTTATTTATTTATTTTTTCATTTTCTTCGTGTTTTCATTTGGCAGAAGAAATATATAGTGATGCACTCAGCAGTACCTCTTCTGTTTTACTAAGAGTTGTCTTATTTCTCACAAGTTGTCTTTCTACTCTACTTATTCTCATCGATAAATACTTTCTGGTTTTTTTTTTTTTTTTGGGATTAATTAAGAAACATAAAATATACAAATATTGCAGCTAAGGACATAATATCTTCTAATTTTGGTACTTCAGTGGCTTGTGGTTTCATCCCTTAGCTTTTTACTATTTCTATCCATTTCATTGTTGAAAATCAGCCTTTCAAGTTCTTAATTTTTCTAATTGAGTCCAAATAATTTATTTTTCATAATTGAAAAAAATTATATTATTTTCGTCTCAAATTAATATCTATTCATATCCTTTTAGTTTTCTCAACTATGAATAATGATTTCAATGTTATCGATAGACAATTTTTTAATCATAAAAAATAACTTGAGTATTTTAATTTTTTTAAAAAAAAAATTTGTCAAAGTGCATAAATATTGGTATATGTTTCATGTTGAAGAGGTGTTTACTAAAGTCTGTTAAGAGTCATCATAGTCTATTGTTCGAAAGTAAAAGATTATGGGTGCAACTATAAAATTGAAAAAGTTTTACGACTCATATTAGCATTTATTTTTATGAAAAAGAAAAACTATAAAAGTTAATGCATACAAGACAAATCACTAAAAAAAGCTTAAAAGGAACAAATAGGCAAACCACATGATTTTTTTCTTCCTTTTATGTTTTCCCTCAAATTAATAAAGAATTTGAAAAATAACTTTTTATGGTGCTATGAATTTGAAAATTGAAAACTTTTCCTACTTGGATTTAAGCTCATCTATGGATACATTATTAAACTGAAAGGATTTATTAGAATTCAATACAATGAAAATTACATTTTTATTTAAGAAAATAAAATAAAATTTTTTTGATAAGGAAACAATATAGATTGTTTCTTTCATTGATTGTTCTTGTAATGTCTCCACATAGTGATATATCATATACTATTATTCCTTTGTTTGCTTTCATGTCTCGTTGCTTTATTGATTTACAAATGGTGAAGAAGACATTTATCTATCTATGACAATATTGAAGAATTCTTGCAAAGTCAAGAGAATAATCTCATGCTTCGAAGGTACTCTTACTCAAAGATTAAAATAACTAATAGATTTACTTACAAGTTGGGTAAAGGTGGCTTTGGTTCGTGTATAAAGGAAAGCTTCGTAGTGGTCGTTTTGCAGCAATAAAATTTTTAAGTCCAAATCTAATGGGCAAGACTTTATGACTGAAGTTGCCACCATTGAAAGATTTTACCATGTTAATATATCGTGCAACTTATAGGCTTTACTATCGATGGATCAAAGCATACTCTTATATACAAATTCATGCCTAATCTTTCTCTTGAAAAGTACATTTTTTCTAAACATTGTAGATGTCGTAGGGTAACATTGTGGCCGGGCGACATGATGAGGTGAAAATAGGGAAAACGAGTAAAAATAACTAGATTCACCACCTAGTATTATGCTTAATAGGAAACCCTATAGCTGGTCCGTTCGCAGTCCGGGATAAAGGGTTTATTACACGTAGGAAAGATTAAAATCACACTACTCCATCCTATCTAAGGCAAGCTACATTGATTTCATTATGACTTTTTTATGATAAAAATCTATATCTATTTTCTAAATATTGGCCCACTAGCCGAGTGATGCGGGACTTGACCGGTCGGAGACCTTATCCTCATTTTATAATGAATGGGTAAGAAATAAAAGACATAATAAATGGAAGGATATGTTGTTAATACAACTTAAATAGCATGTGTGAAAACAAAACTTAAAAATAGAC